AGAGTTCACGTGTTTTTTTTTTATAACTTATTAATACGTAGAATTTACATTGAAACTTAGATACATTAATGTATTATATAAAACTTTTTTTTAAATTTAATAATATTATAAAAAATAATGTTTTGAAACGATATACGTTCATTAAACTTATTGAAAAAAATATAATTTTATTTAAAAAAATAAATTGACGTGAACATGAATATATACGTTATGAAAATACCTATATTGGTTTCATATCAAATTTGAATTTGATAAATGATTAAGTTAAATTTATATACAGTAACATCTCAATAGACAATTAAAAATACTTAAAATCATATATTCATAAATAATGTGGTAGTTACTATATCTTCAATTAAAATTCGTTGTAAATTGCGAAATTGTAACAAAATAATTTTAGGGAAGAGGCTAAAATATAAGTCAAGTTTATTTAGTGAAATGTGCAAGTGATTTCTCATGAAAAATAATATTATATTTCGAACGACATAAAAACAATAAAAATCTCTTTAAAAATATTAATTATCGTCAAAGGTAATTAAAACGGTGACTTAACAAAGAAAGAAAAAAAACTAATTAGTTTTAGCTGAAACACTGTACAATAGATTGCAATGCCATTGTATATCAAACTATAATACTAAATTTAGATCTGATATAAATCAGTTTTTACTTTATTCTTACCGCCAACAAATTACTAAATAATATCAAATATCATTAATTATTTTTAAAAATTATTTATACAAGAACATTGATTAGTTTATACACTTATATAAATAAAGAATCAAAATATATGCATTATATTTTGAAATGGATAAAATAACAATATTCATGCAAAACAAACGTGTATATCCACATACGTGAACTAATAATATTTGAAAACATTTTTTAAAAAAATCTAATAAACTGGATTGCATACAAAATATATTATAAAGTCATTTCATTTCAATTTAATAAGAATTGATGGTAGAATATGCTAGAAAATGTTGAAATATATCAATTGTGCAACGTCTGTTTGTAAAAATACAGCATTGTATAAGTAACAAAAATAAAATAAAAAATATGTAATAATAAAAATTAAATTTTCTCACTTATTATTTTTTTGAGAAAGAGTCATAAAAGGATCAGGGGTTTCTTTAAAAGCTTAATATCAGATAAAAGATACAACGCAACTATGAAAACGAGCAAATTCATCAATTAAAAAAAATGTATTTTACGATGAAAAAAAATTTAAGTTATGGCAAAATATTATTTCGCTACTGTCATCGCAAAAAGTCGTATGTAATAGTTTTCCATTTTTATTTTGTTAGAGCTAAAGGTGACATTTTGTAATTTGCAACCGCTCGCTAAAGAAATAAAATACGAAAATCGACCATCCCCACCAGGACGATATAAGTCAGTCCCTCCAGAAATGACGTAGGTGAAACCCCTATAGACCTTGACAATTTAATGTTCACTAAACATATTAATTGCGACATTAATGATGAAGATATAACGGAGGACTCATCAATGACTTGAAAATGACCCTTAGTATGGTCGAAACGTCGAATTAAATAACGTATCAATAAAATGTTTGGTGATAATTGGCCTCATTTATATAAATATAAAACCTCAAGAAACCAAAATTAGGATAAATGAACAGATGAAATTCTAATAAATCGTAAAGAAATAATAAGTTTTGCACTGATAGTAGCGATTTTTTGATTCTAAATGGCAAGTAAATGAATCTAGCGTATTTTTTTAAAATAGGAAATAGAAAACATAACCGAAAAAAAAATTGCACATGAAGATGAGCTCCAAAACGTTGAAGATAAATAAAGAAAATAATAAATTTATTGAAGAGATACCTTTAATAAAAAAAAAAAAAAAACAGCATTAAATTTTCTTTTTATATATATATATTATTGATTTAAACTAATGAGATTTATTTATTAATTTATATTTTTATTTATTTTTCCATACTTATTGCCTATATGTCCAGTTTAATAAATAATTACTCTCAATTTATTGCATTATTTATTATTTTTATTTCTGCGTCTAAGGAATAATTTGTCCCCATTCTTAAAAAAATAATTTGCTCCAGAATTGGCTAAGTGTAAAGGTGCTTTTAGACATTTCACAAACTATGGGAAACACAGTTCTCTAACTTTACTAACGGCGACATTAGTGATAAATCAAACTATTTATTTTATTTCTCTTGCTATAGACAGAAGATGGAAAATATCAAAAACAAGGAACAAAAATACAAGTGAAATAACCATTTATAAATTTTTTTTGTGTCATAGTTTGTGAAATGTTCAAACGCAGCTTAACATAGTAGTAAAATTGGTCAATGATCAAACACTCAATTAAAAAAGCGTTTACACAAATTTGTTATAAAAATCTCTTTTTTATTTGAATATTTGTTCATTTGTCAAGCTTATTGCTAGCATAGAATTACCCAATACTGAAGCAAATTATTTATAAGAACTCGTAAGTCTTTCCATATACTATTTATTTGATTTTATCTTTCTCTGTTTATTTTATATTTATTAATATATATATATCTTTTTATTTCTCTTTATTATCTGTATTTTTATTTTATTTTATCAATTATTTTGTAAACATTTAAGTTATGGACACACTATTATGATTATTTTAATTCTGCAATTATAATTTGTTCTAAAGGGACACTAGTCCCAGAATAATAAAGATATTTTCATTTAATTTCATTTTAAATTATATGCTGAAGATAAAGCAATATTGAGCAAAAAATCCCTGAAACGTACAAATAAAAATATATAAAGAATTTTTATTTATTATAATGTACATATTCTTGGCTTACAATAAATTTGCCATCTACCTCGGTATTCAGCAAATATGATATCAAGGAGAAAAAATAATAGCATAAAGAAAAAAAGAATAGTAATAACAAAATAATAAGACAAAAAAAAAAAGAAAAAACAGTAGTAAGATAACACATAATAACACAATAAAGAATAACGTTATAAATTTACGAGTGATTATTCATAAAACTGTACCTATAGCCAAGAAGTAAGTAGAGGATAAATGGAGAGATTTATAGTGAAGTTAGATTTTATTATAAAAATTATGTTTCGAATGCATTTTTAAGAACGTTTTGATTCAGAAGATTTTAAGGATTAAAAGGTAGTTTTGTTTAATATTGGTGATGTATTTAATAATTAAGATAATATAAGGGATAGGATATATGTTTAATATAATATATTTAATTATATATGTTTGTATTGGTTTGGCAAACTATGAGGTTGGAGTGTACTCACCACCATGGTGCTTGTAGTTTGAATGCTCAACGCCGACTGGTCCACCCCACCCAGCAACGCCCTACTCCACACATTTTATTTTCATTCATCTCTGGCCTTATCTTCCGAAATATGGTCCATCCGTCATCCACTTCTTCAAGGGGTTACGGAACCCTCCAGAATTAGTGGCATTCCCGGATCAGCTGGATATTCTATACCGATCTCAGCGCATAATTATTCCATTCGCATACCATCGTATGCACCGTTCTGTCTGAAATATTGAAGGGTAATGTCTCTTAGCGGACATTTCTATTTAGTGGACAATTATACAAAACCCAACAAATTTTAAATGATAAAATTCGACATTATCTGATGAAAATTTTGAAACAAAAAAAAATTACAGTCTACCAATCAGATTCGCCATTTTTTAATTTTTTGTTGCTACTTCGTAATTTGATGCTCTACAACTTTTATTCTATAAATTTTGGTTTATCCTTTTCAAGAATGAACCATTGATCGCCCAAAAATTGAAAAATTTAATCTCTCCTCAAAATTTGAGGTTTTACACGATACGTACAATTCGAAAATCGAATACAAATTTTTTGTTCGTCTGCCGTCCGAGGCTTTTCTCCGGAACTGCTGGACCGATTTTTTTTTTTTTCAAATATGGAATCAAAGACAGAGGTAAACCCAGGATGATTCTCCTACCTCGACATTACATCCGCCCTTTCCTTTCAAGATGGCCGCCGAAAAACCAGTGTTTGTGTAGACTGTAGCACCTAAACGAATGTGCCGATTTCAATGAAACTCGGCTTAAGTTTTCTCTTCGCTGACCTTTAAATTTATCTATACAACGTACTTCAACGAAAAGAAGCTGGAAAAAATTAAGGTGGTAAAATTAGATTTCCGTATCACTCAAGAAGTATCCACTTTTTTGTTGATGTTGTTTATGGTAATTTAATTGTTTACGAAATTTACTTAAAAAAATCGGACAATTTAGAGCAAAGATATGGTGTTTTAAATATGTTTTATATGTTCTACTTCAAAGCTTTTGTTTGGGTTTTTTGAAAGTTTTACATCAACTTTAGCAATGATGAAAAATAAAATTATATTGGCCAATATTACGAATCCCTTTTTATTTATTTTCCTTTATGTTACATGAAAACTAATGTTAAGTTTGATGTTAAATTGTTCGGAAATAATAAAGAATTATGTAACAACTTGCAGAGTTTTTCATTTGGCGCCCGACAAATCTAAATGTATTTGCTATTCTTCGTTGTCATTATTCTTAGGGGCCTAAATCGAATTGTTTATCGAAAACAAGAGGCAATTTAGCTGTTAAAATTAACAACTTCCATCTACGATAAAATTTTATTTTATGGTTGACCGTTGAAACATATTTTTAAATCATGACAAGATCTTAATTTTGCACTGAAATGACTTTAAAATGTTCGTTGAGAAGATTTTTTATTATATATTGTAGTTAACATCAACCAGAATAAATTGTCCTCTAACATGGGCCAGGAACCCAATATATTCACTAAGGGAAAATAGATGAATTATTTAACAACGGAAGTGGTGCCTCATTTTATAAAAACCCAAAATCATTAACAACTCTTTCTCATATATATATATATATATATATATATATATATATATATATATATATATATATATATATATATATATATATATATATAAATAAGTGGATATATATTTACGATAATTATGATATTCAACTTTCAGGTTGCTGGGAAACGTGATCCCGCTCAAGAAGCAGAGGCTCAACATTGGATTGAAACTATAATTGGAGAACGGTTTCCATCAGGTCATTATAACTAATAAAATAAATTTAAATGCTTTATTAAATTAAGTAAACGGAATGTTCCATACGAGACATAGATTTTTTTATATAATCATGTAATTTATAAAATATATTTCATAAATTGACTAATCATTAGAACTTACCTAGGTAAATTTACTGTATCGCTAGTCCAAGATGGCGGCTGGTGGTTTCAAGATCAGTTTGTGCACACTGCGTAGAATCTCGAAGAATACCGAAAGTAGCCGAGCGTTAACAAACGTGTTCATATACAAACGAAACTCTTGTTCGGGCGGCATACTTTTGCGTAAATGCACAAAGAGCAATTTTCTTTCATTTTTTTCTCTTTATTAATTATTATTAAATTAATTAATTTAATTAATTAATTTTTATTAATTATATGATTAGAATATGCGAAAACGCCTTTAAAATATACATTTAATTTTTATTGTTCTATTGTTTCACTTTAACATTATTTAATTTCCAGCTTCGTAATTATATACTGTGCTTAATAATTCCAGAGAATAAAACGAATATTGATTATTGTAGGTTGAAAAATAAAAATAATGTTTATTTCTTAGGAAGGAGTGAAATTTTCCAACAACTGACGAACATTTCTATAAGTTGGTTCAGGGTAATATTTAGAAATAGGAAATAACTTTATTCTGGGACGAAGTTCCTTAAGAATAACGAAATATTACAGAAAAACATCTGACCAGAAAACTTGTTACATTAAAAAGTAGCTAGATAAAAAGCTTTAAGTAAATAAACTATATATACAAATCAAACCGGTGGGACTATTTACAAAATACTACAATTACATATATAATACAAATAAGAAATTATAAAGATTGTGAAACAAAATAATCCCTGCATAGTTAAAAAGCTTAAAAAATATAATAATCAAAAGAAATATATTTTTAAAAAAATAAGTAGAATACAAAATATGGTCCTCCAACAAATGAACAACAAATCTCCTATGAATAAAAGAAAATTTCAATTTATGTTGAAATACACGTACTCATACACCGAAATATATACATAAACCGTGTTGTCAAATGAAAAATGGTGTAAAAAATATGTATACACATATAAATGCATATATTATGTACAAAAGACCATAAGTAATATGTAGAAACAAAACAAAAAAATTAAGATAAAAAATACTGTTTTTTACATTATTACTTAATATGTGGTTAGCTGTTTTCTGACTGTATTTATGTATGAAAATAAAATTAACGTGATCTAAACTTAAGTTAGATGGTTTGGAAATTTTGTTCTGTCTACGTTCGGATACGCTCGGGTGAGTTCGGGATTCCATATCCAGTGTGCTCGAAGCGATCTTGAAATTAGCCGCCATCTTGGCCTAGCGAAGAACAACTAAAATTAAATTAGCGAATAAAGGTTTTCTAATTATTTTATTTCTTACAATTATTAGTTTTCAATAATGAATAATATTATAATATTGATAATTGATTCTGTTATTTTTATCTTGATTAGTATGATTGTACGTTTCTATAATATTCTATGTTATATAATATAATATAATATTTTAGATTTGCCGTATGAGCTGGCACTTCGTGATGGAATCATTCTTTGTAAACTGATGAACCGATTGATGCCTGGTTGTATACAAAAAATCAACTATTCAGGTGGAGACTACAAAATGATGGATAATATAAACCAGTAAGTTTATATATTTTTGTTTTTTAGCGGAGTAGAAAGTTGTCTATAACAATTAATATTTTATCCATCATGGTAATATTTTTATCTTATTTCATATTCATTAATTCCTGATGATACATCGATTTTTTTTTTTGACTTAGTGAAATGAAATAAAAAGTCTTCGAGTCTTGGTCTGAAAGTATTATTATTTTTTTTTTTAAATAATGTCAGTCGATCTGGAAGAAAAATAAAGGAACTTCTTATATGAAATAAAGTAATATTTTTTCATGATAGGAGCTTACATTTTGTAGCTATAATAAGCGTTATAATTTAAAAAGAAAACGTAGTGAAATATAGTTCTCTTGTAAATATTTAGCTTAGATAACTTGCATAAATAAATATGGACCAATGAAAAAAAATTAGACTAGATTAAAAAAAAAATAGGTAGATTTGACAGTGTCATCCATTGAACTAAAACTTGTTTAGATTTCATTAAAATTTCTTGTACAAATATTTGAGCTACAATAGAATTCAAGCGATATACATTGGATTCAAATCGAAAATTTTAAATAATAATAAAAAAACTTCACATTTTTCTAAAAACTTGAAATACCAATGCGTCTAGAAGGTATGGTGGGTTCTGAGTTCACCACAGCGTGACGTATAAGGCTGCCAAAAATGATATTGTCAAAGTATCTCTGAACTATACTTTATAGACATACATTTATAATAATTATATGCATGTATAAAAAAAAAGTTACGACGTTCAAAGTTGTAGAGACGTTTCTTCTCTTTATGCATAAACGAAACAAGTATCTACAAAGGTTCCCAAGATGTTTTGAATATAATAATAAAAAGTCCAATAATTCCAGGCTTTTAGCCCGAAGAAAGTTCTCCAGAAGAAAACTTTGTTGGAAAACTCTGTTTTCTCATGATGTCCTCAACGTATACAAGTTATATAAAAAAAATACTCTAACTTCTTCAAGATTATATGTACATTTCTCTTTGACTAAATAACCTTAAAAATAATCACCTTCGTGATATAAAATTATATTGCTTAAATGCTAACTTCTCTCTATCATGAATTAAAAAAATAAAATAAATAATATTACCTTTAAATTGTTTAATACAGTGATATAATTCGCTCTTATATACATGTGTATAACTTTTACTAGAATAGGCTCTAAATCATGTGTGGGAAACCTACTGCCTCTAGGCCGCATGTGGCCTCCGTGACTTGGCTGCGGCCTCTAATCGTTTGGATATTTATTAATCTTACCCTAAAATTAATTATTATTGAAGTAACGACTATTTGGAAATAATAGAATTAAGATGAAGGTACGTATGTGTGTGTTTTTATTTAGTGATAAATAAAAATAGAAACTTTTTGATAAAGAGAATTTTAGAAACTGAATGATAAAGAGGAATTTATTAAGAAAATATTTATAGTACAGACTTCTTTTTATCAAAATTTTAACATCCGTCTAAAATTTCGTAAATGCTCCATCTTATCGTAACTTAAAACTTTTTTATCTTTGAAAATTCTCATGAATGGGACGTTTTCTCAATAATTAAATAATTAATCGTACTAATTAATAGCTGCTTACGAAGCGGGAATACAGAGCTTATATGCTCTCGTATATGTATATATATATATATATATATATATATATATATATATATATAGATATATATATATATATATATATATTTATATATATATATATGTGTGTGTGTGTGTGTGATATATGCAGCTCGCGAATAGGTACTGTATCAGGAGTTTAGCGACCATATTAGACCTTCTGAAAGTTCCTTTTATCATTGATTTTAGTAAATTTAATCTGTTTTCTCAACAAAATATTTCTTCTTTACGATGATGAACTTAAAATTTAATTATCTTGAACAGTTTCTGAGAAATTCCTTCTTAAAATAAAATAAAATTGGTCTTAACTCCTTTTCCTTTAGAAAATAATCAAATTCCCCCATGCATCAAATGAAATGTTTTGTTGGAAATTTTGTCTAGAATCTTCCTCCATTAAAAACTGAGACACTCTGAATATTCAATTGTATTTTTTTTTTTTTTAGATATTTTCAACTATTTATAATAAGTAAAGAAAAAAATCAAATGAATAAAAATCCTTTAAAAGATACTTAAAGAAATTAATTATAAATATTCAATATTATATTTGTTCGTTTCGCAATGATTATGTTGAATTTTTACACACGCCGTATGTATATATTTTTTTTTTTTGGTTCATTTGATTGCTGCCTATGAATTGTTATCCTATATATTATTTCTAAAAGTTGTCTTTTTATCGGTACGCCATAAGTTCGTCAATTCTTTATCAAATCCAATGGTTGATCACTCATTTTGAAGATATTCTTCTCCTTCACATGCGAAAAATAGTCCTATCCCCCCGAAATTTCTGGGAAAAAAGTTATAAAGGAAAAGAAACTTTATTCGCGAATAACTCAAAAAGTATGCATTTTTTTCTTCATTGTACCTTATGATAATTAGAAATATTACTAAATTACCTACAAAACAAAAAAAATCGTAAAATTCGGACAATTATTAACAAAGATACAGTCCATTAGTTTCGGTGTACTTAATAATGTCTTCCTGTTTAAAGATATTGCATTTAGGAATAGAATAGTGTACTACATTTTTTTTTTCCTGGCTTTTGTATTAACTTTATTATTTCTTAAAGACCTGTGGTTGTTCTTACATTTTCTTTTTTTTAATAATTTAGAATATCCAATGATCTGTGCATTATTTTGTCTTTATTACTTTTATTATCTTTCCAGTCAGCGTTTAAAAATAGGTTCTAGCAGAGCAATTTGTATAAATATTTTGGTCTATTATGTTTAATGGATATATTGTGGTCGATCGAGGAACAAATATTAATTCCTTACTTACATAATACATAGGAACTAATTATTTCCATATTGTTTTACTATTTCTTCAGTAAACAAAATTTTTTGCATGGACCAACTAGTGTCTGCTATCGCTTGAGTCACAACAATAGGAGCTGCTACCGGCGGAGAGCTGGAACGAAGTAACCTGTTACTAAAAAGTAACTGCTTTACTCAGTTACACAGCAACGCGGCCTATGGGCAGGAACGTGAACTAAAGGAATACGAAGCTCCACGATGTTGCTGAACCCCTGATACCAAAACCGCCGGTTGCAGACAGTTGAGCTGTCAGATTTTGATGGACGTGCTGTCGTCGGCCATTTCACCATCGCCTTTCCTTCCCCCTTAGCCACCCCTCGCGAGGAAATATTCCCGCAGCCCAGGGGAAACTGACTAGGAGCTCAGCCCGAAACAGGAGCTAGAAAAAGAAATACCCAACACAATTTTTACTCCCACGACCAAACTCTTTTTCTTTATCCCTTCAGTATTTAGAACTAAATAAAACCTTAATCACCATACTTATAACATCATGTATTATGAAGATCGCGTAATATCCAGCTTAATAGTTGTTCTTATATGCGTTTCCATGCAATTTCAAGGTCAACACCAGAACGAGTTGTTCCATAAATAATAAAATGAAGATGAATTTATATTATTTATAACTAGTTGGCCCGTGCGAAAAATTCACAGAAAATTAATTATTGTGAAGAAATAGCAAAACAATATAGAAATAAATAGTACCTATGTATTATGTAAGGGGAGTTAATATTTTTTCCTTTTTCGATTACAGTATTCCATTTAACATAATAGACCAAAATATTTGTACAAATTGCTTTGCTAGGACCTATTTTTAAACGCTGACTGGAAAGATAATAAAAGTAATATAGACAAAATAATGCCCCGATCATGGGATATTTTAAATTATTAAAAAAAAATAAAATGTAAGAACAACCAAATGTCTTTAAGAAATAATAAAGTTAATATATCAGCCAAGAAAAAAAATGTAGTAAACTATTCTACTCCTAAATGCAATATCTTTAAATCCGAAGACACTATTAAGTATACCAAAAGTAATGGACTGTTTTGTTTGTTTTGTAGGTAATTCGGTAACTGACTTTCTAATTATTATGAGTACAAACTTTTTGAGTTATTCGCAAATAAAGTGTCTTTTCCTCCATAACTTTTTTTCCTGAAATTTCGGAGAGATGGGACCATTTTTCGCATGTGAAGGAGAAAAATATCTTCAAAATTTAAGAATTGATGAAGTTATGGCGTACAGACAAAAAAACACCTTTTAGAAATAATATATAGGATTAGTTGGCCCGTGCAAATAATTTGTATACTACATTGATCAGTGAATTAATGACAAAATAATTAGGAAATAAAATAATTCAACTTGTTATAAGATGGAGGAATCAATTCTTATTTTCAGGATAATTAAAGTCGACCAAGAACAAGAAAATTAAGTGAAAACTTCATGTTTTAAACCAATATGTTAAAAAAATAAAATGATCTGTATCTTTGCTAATAATGGTCCGATTACGATGTTTTTCTTGGTTTTGTTGAGAATTTAGTAACCTTTTAAATAATCCTTGATGAAACCCACCATAAATTGCCTACTTTTGAGTAATACGTAAATAAATTTTCTTTTTTTTCCTTAACTTTTTCCTCCTGAAATTTTGGAGGTATGAGACTATTTTTCCCATCTGTAGCAGAAGACAGTATTCAAAATGATTGCTTAATTATTGGATTTTATCAAGGATTCAAGAAGTTCGGTGTAAATGATTTTGGTTAATGAATTCAGTGGTGGGAACAAATAAAAAAAAGCTTTGTAGTATATAGTAAAATATTTAATCTGAAAAATAGTATATAGTTGATATAAGCAATGATGGTAGCAAGTTGCGCCATCAAAAGTTTAAAGGAGGGCAAATTTTGATGGGTTTTTGAATTTTTGAAGGGGACAAATTTTTGGAATGAAAAGTTTCTAACAAGAGGACAAGGTGAAAATATGGAACAGACCACAGCAAATGTAATTGTATATGATGTACTATATATATATATATATATATATATCAGAAATGATATTATTACTTTAATTTAATTATGAATATATATATATATCCAAATATAGTTTCAGAGATTTCCATTCCCCCTCCAGGTCGATGGCGAATGGACCCTTTTAGTAAAGTGCTACTGTCTTTTAAAAGTTACTTAATAGAGTTGTCAGGAGATATATTTTATTGTGAAAAAAATAATTTAAAAACAACAACTTTTATTATCAATGATTAATTTAGCTGTAAAAAAAGATAACAAGATAGTTTAAGTAACTTTCTTTACAGCTAAATTAATCATTGATAATAAAAGTTGTCATTTTTTTATTATTTTTTTTATATTTATGTCATTTTTTTTTTTTTTTTTTTTTATTATTTGACCGCACCCTCGACTAGCTCCTTCTCATATATTATAATAGTTCATTTAAATAAAAATATTCATGAATTGGTGGTTTAAGAATTATTGTTTAAGTCTTATTTAGGAAATATTTCTAATGTTGAGATTTCTTCTGTATTACTCTTAAAATTACTTAAAACTAATTCTGTTAATGTAAATTTAATTATAACATTAACTGTTTTTTTTTTTCATTTTTATAAATCTTACATACGTATCTAAAGGAAAAATTTAGTATTTTACAAAAATTTTAATGACTCCTTCCATTCCTTTACCAATTTTTTTTTCTTTGGGTGCATTTTATCCTTTTGATAGATATAAACTCAATGTTATTGGATAAATTTAATAGCATCTACTCTAATTAGATAAAAATTAAAAAAATAAATAAAGTAAAATAACTTTGTAAAAATTATTAATATTTTCAATTGAGACAAATTTTATCAACTTCATAATATTTCCTTTAATGTAATGCATATATATATATATATATTTTTTTTTTTGCTCTGCTTCAATCTTACCCAAGCTTCCTGGATAACTTATTGTTTGTATGTTCATTCTAGAGGAGCAAAAACCTTTTGTCTTCAACACCCATGATTATTCATTATAATTACAATGTTTTAAAAATGGTTAGCGAAAGGGGGGGGGGAGAGGAAAATATCTCTCTTATATAATTTGAATTTTATATAATTTAGAAAAGAGGTAGTGTATTTTCAAAAATGTAAATTTATATTCTTTGATAATTAGTTATCAGTGTATGATTCTAATTCTTAATGTTTTTATCAAATTTTAAATATATTTTACTCTGATAAAAAATTTACATTTTTATTAATTAATTATTTTTTTTTAATAAATCTAGGTTTCAGAAAGCTTGTATTAAATACGGATTAGCTGACGTCGATCTCTTCCAGACGGTGGATCTGTTCGATCAAAAGAATATTGCCACAGTGACAATGACCATTTTCGCTATTGGAAGAACAGTAAGCATGCTTACTAAATATTTAAATTTTAATTAGCTTATATACAATACCTAGGAATGATGTTTGATAGGAGAATAATGACAAGGGGTCCACATGTCAAGAAATAACATGCCACTTTAAATCTCAGATTTTAATTATTACACTCACTCTTAAGACAACACTCGAAATTAAAAGCAAGACAAAAATTAAATATTTACACATATCTATTAAAACCTCTTTGGACTTACGGATTAAAAATATGCGGAATTGCAAAACTAACACATATAAAAAAATTTCAAACTTTTCATTCTGAAATAGTACGACTAATTACCCAAGCACCCTGATAGGTGAAAAATAATACCTTACACATTGACTTATGCATCCTAACTGTCAAGGAATATATACCATCCGTATGTATAAGTTGAAAGAATACTCCAATCAGCTAATAAAAGAAATGGCCACAATTCTTATACCAGAGAATATCAGAAAATGACTGAAAAGTGTCTGGACGAGGGACCTACATACGTAATTATATAAGTAAATTAAAGACACATAAGAGGTACCGCTGAGTACTGCTCTCTTCCTCATGCCCGTCAAGTATATATTTTTTTTAAATTTATTTATTTATTAATTTTGTATTTATTTTTCTCATCTCATTATATAGCCAGCACATCTGATTGTTAATAAATGTAATTAACAGGTTCAGATTGAAAAATAAGTAACATATTATTAAAAGTGGCATAAATTAAGTGTATTAAATGGGATCAAGAAGACAGCCTAATGGCAAAATGATGGATGGGCTTAATTCAAACATTCTTACTTTTAAACGAAGATTATGTTAAGATAATAATTTTGAATACTTGATTGAAGTAATAATGAGGTCTTTATTTTTTTTTTAAAGTGCTACAAGCACCCGGAATGGCGCGGACCATGGCTGGGTCCTAGACCAGCCGAAGAAAACAGGAGAGAATGGACCGAAGAACAATTGAGGGCAGGAGAAGGCGTGATTGGTCTTCAAGCCGGTCAGAACAAGGGGGCCACACAGGCGGGACAGAATTTTGGTGCTACGCGCAAAATTTTGCTCGGAAAATAAATTTATTGTCTATATAAAAATGAAGAAATAATTGTAAATTTTATATAAACAACAGTAACTATTCAACTATTTATTACATATTATAAAGATTTGTTGTAAATGAATTCTGATCAATTGACTAAAAACATTTTGATATGTTAGCCTTATCTGCGGTTATATGATACAAATTATTTATTTTCATTAATTTTTTTAAGTATTGCTAACTCAAAATATATTCAGTTCAATTGCTAAGTTTTTTCTTGGAAAATCCTTGTTGATTGGTTTCAACCTTTTTGTTAGCATATATAAGTATAGGGATACCTTTTTGTTAGCATATACAAGTATAGGGATAACTTAAGGTATAGGGCCAGTCAGAAGAGGCATATTTATAGCTAGTAAAGAATTCATTTTATCCAAAATAATGTCAATTGAAATTGTCAGATTTTGAAGATTTCACCTCTTCAAGATTTTTTTTTTTTCTCTAAATCCATCATAGGATACTCTACTTAAAATATTTATGTTTTAATCTGATATATCATCGTATGAGATCCATTTTATTCTTCAACAGCAGCAATAAATGTGGTAGGATGGTCGAGTGGACTAATGCCTAGTGTAAAACACGTATTGCACAGCAACCTGATAAACCAAAGATAATGAGTTTCAATCTTGGTGCCGGGGGTGGGGGAGAGGGATCTTTTAACTGAGGTATTAAATCTCCCACCCTCTCCCATGGTCTGGAAAAACCCCGTATAGCCTAAAAGGTGAGAAAAAACAACAACAGCAGTAGTAGCATTTATACATTCGAAGTATGAATTAGTGTATATCATTTTTTAAAACTATATTAAATGAAATTGACATAAAATGTCAAATTACTGACAGAATAATACTTATGAAGACAATAATAAAATTATTTTATTTGTTATATAAATTAGGCCATTATTCACCAACATTTTACTTATTAGCTATTTTATTACAATGTTTCGACCATCTCTAGGACCTTTTTCAAGTCTTCTTGAGTCCTCCATTAGATATTCATTATTAATGTCGTATTAATTTATTCAGTGAAAAATTAATACAACATTAATAATGAATATCTAATGGAGGACTCAATAAGACTTGAAAATGGCCCTAGCGTTGGTCGAAGCGTCGTAATAAAATAGCTAATAAATAAAATGTTGCTGAATAATGGCCTAATTTATATAACAAATAAAACCTCAAGACACCAATTTTAGGAATAATGAACAGAAGAAATAAAATTATTGTTTGTTCAGAATAATTTTGTCCATATACTTTTATGTGCAACTAAGACTGAGTTTTTATTAATTTGGTACATAGTATTTTGATTTGTCAAGAAAATGTTTGACTGCCACACTTGCGAATATTCTGAACACCATATTTAAGCTCTCCTTTTTAAGCACCTACTCCTTTCCCAATCCGACTGATCACAAAATGTACATAAGAGAACTTCTTAAGATTCCCTAGAAACCATATTATATACTAATGTTATTCTATTTTCCTTTGTTTAGTCTCTATATATATGATGTGTATGTTTCTTTTTCTTCCTATATTTTTATTTATAATTAGATATCATTTTGTAAATATTTAACGTATGGCCACACAGGCATTTCCTCAGTATTTATACTTTGTTCTAAAGGGGCAACAGTCCCACAATAATAAAAATATTTTTCATTCATATGCAATCAGAAGTTGCATAAACAATATCAATATTATTATACATTCAAAAACTCTTAGGCCCTCTGCAAAGGAAAACTGAACTGCATTGTAATTAGTCAAAAATATTCCTTGTTACCAAAGATAACGATGGTAGTAATTAATCAGTCTTGCTTATTACTGTTTTCATTACAGAAGAAATAGAACAGATCAAAGATTTTATGGTCATCAACATTAATTAAAAGAAACTTTAATTGCCAATTTTCATTAATGCAATAGAATTAAAAATACCAGATAAAAATAATTTTGTTCCTATCATATGTCTAAAGAAAGTTATTCGGATTTAGTAAAACTGATTTCCCATGGAGTATGTTTGAAACAGAATGAAACGATATTTCTCCACTTCACTCACTAATGGATAATGATTTTCTTATCATTCAATTCAGCCACTAATTTGATAATGGTTTATTTATCATTCAAATGTTAAATTAATTTATTATTAGATGTTATTTTAGTCCATATTTCATTAAGCCAATAGTACACCGATATTTTAACTTTTTTACAAATCTCTTAATATTATAAATTTTATAGTAATGAATTAAAATAATAGATGAAAATAGGTATAGCAATTATGACACATGTTTTTACATAAGAAATGCAGTAACTTAGGACACGATAGGTAATTATAAATTTTGTATTTCAACATACATAAGTTTTTTTTTTAAATATATAAATGATTTTACAAATAATTATGCAAGAAAAATTAATAAAAAATATTGTAAATAACTGTAATATGAACAATTTGTTTTTAGACTTGAAAATGGTTCGATGAGTCGAAACGTCATCATTTCAAAATAAGGATTGGAAATAGTAACATTATTGGTATACTATTGGCTTAATGAAATATAAATCGAAATATTATACTATATTATAGAAAATTGTATTAAAGATATTATTTTATTTTTAAAAAATTTAAAATAGATTATCTAATAACGCTATGAATGAGAAATTATTAACTGAAGTTTCTAATGTCTCAACGTAGTTGCCCATGGCTCTATTAAATTTAAATAAGTTAAGACTCGTCACGAACTAGTTTGTGATCAGTTTGTTTTGGGTAGCTCCATATGAAGACTACCAGGGATACACTGACTATACACAAAAGGTGTCTTATAACTTATAAACAATTAGGGTTGTATTGTATTAGTATGAGATTTGAATGCAAAGTTATTAGTATTCAACTGAGAGCCACAATTGAATGATAGGTATTTTTATTTGTTGTTAATTCTATAGTGTATTAGGAAAAAGGATGAATCAAGAAAAAATAATCAAAATAAATTTTATGTAAGTGTATTCAAAACTTTTAACATTTATTGGTCACACCACTTGTTTTGACTTACGACTACAAAATGTGATGAGCTTCTTTGTCAATGGCTTTTCCATAAACTTCTAAAAGTGGTTATAAAAATTAACGACCTGACTTACAAACCTAAGGCTACAGGTGGGAAAGTTATTTTATCTTATCAACAATAAAAAATTAAAATAAAATTAAATAAAAAAAAAACAACTGTTTCATTAACAAAGAAAGTTATCACAAGCAATGCGTTTGTATGAAATTGAGATTTCAAACTTCATTAAACATCTTGCATAAAAATTTAAAAACTACGTCCTATCCTGATTCTGAAAGAAAAGAAGAAAAACATCACAGAACACTTATAACACTGATTACTTATAATATTACATATATTTTCTTTTAAACATACAGTTAGGCTTAAGATATGAGAAAATTCCAAAGGAGATAATTTTGAAACATATTTCAAATTGAATTAATGTCCGACGGAAACATAATCTTCGTGTGGAATCAGGTTGTAACAATATAATACTGAGATCATGGCCTACTTTGACTCTAAGCTTTGTCAAACATACATGGTCAGCGATAAACAAGACGATTTGTTGACTAAGGTGTATAAAAATATATATTTAAAATATTTTTTGGCTTATCATTGTGAAGTAAAATTCACGGTACAAAAATATACAGTCGCTAACCATCATTTTTACAAAGTGAGTACATGTAAGAAAAAAAAAAAAAAAAGTAAAGAAATATAAAAACCTACAAAATATAAACCAATACAGTCATTTCAGTCCAAGGCTATAAAGAAATATTTATGACTGCAAAATAAAAAAAAAAAAAAGAAATAAAGAAAAGTAAAAATATAGACTAATAACTGCAAACTGAATAAAGGCAGTTAATAATACTAAAAACATTAACAACACTGGTGACGATATATAATCTTGTATACAATTGAAAAAAATAATTATCACATACTTAAATAGCAACTGAACATAATTTAAAAATATATGTGCAGCAAGATATTTAAGTATGCAATAATATCCTAAAATCACAATAGACGATTTAGCGAATAAATTCATAAAATTTATAAACAATTTGTTAATATATCTATTTTTTAAATTATAATTTTTTTTCTTTTAATATAGATATATAATCCTAATTTTAAAAACAAATATCTAAATTTCGGTTAACATACAATTTTAATATTTTACACATTTTTTTTTTTTGTTTAATTAACAGTTTTAAATTGGATGTGATATACAGTTTGATGGCTTATAATAAAAAAAAAAAAAAAATGTTATGTCATATAACGCATCACAGCTCTGAGAGCGTAAAGCAGCTCAGCTTGCATCCTAGCTTCCAGGACCATTATATTCACATGCACCTGAAACATTACGACAAGAGATGAGTTTATTATTTTTTAAAAATCTAATGATATGAATGTACATTAAAGTGAAAAAAACAAACAAAAAAACTTTTTTTCGGTGGACAACTTTCTAATAGTGTTCAAAAGTTCCCTTTTTTTATTAAAAAAAAAAAAATACACAATTTTGCTCTATATTAATATCTCCTGGGAGAGAAAAGTGTTGAGAAGAATATGAGGCGGAGTCGCTGAAAATGTAATCTGGAGAAGAAGAAAGAATGATGAGCTGCGTGAACTGATATCGTAGCATCGATAAAAAGAGCCCAGATAAGGTAGATAGGTCATTTAAAATTGAGGAAATAATGCCGAAGAGGATGATTTATCAAAAGCTGGATTGCAAAAGAAGTAGAGGATGCCCTCAGATGAGATGGCTATAGATGAAGGATGATCTGAGGTGGATCGGTGTTCAAAGATGGATTAAAAATTAGAAATACAATTTCGTCATGTACATTTACCAATTCATTATGACAGATGAAATAATAATGTCATAATTAATAACCAATCATTAAAACAAAGTAAGCATTAAAAAATAACTTTTATATTTAATGAGTTTTATATGAGCCTTTCAATTGACAGAATGACTAACTCAAATTTCAACATTTTTGAATAAATCATTTCAGCGATATTTTTGGTTGGAAAATATATAATATCTAAACAGACGAGTAAGTTAATTCCAAACAAGGTGATTGAAGTGTTGAAATATATAACTGTGAATAAAGCTACACATTTTCTCATTAGAAATATCACTAAAATTATTATTCAAAAATGTTTAAATTGGAGTTAGTCATTCTGCCAACTGAAAGGCTCATATAAAACTTATTAAATATAAAAGTTATTTTTACTTAAAAGTTATTGTTAATGCTTACTTTGTTTTTATGATTGATTATTAATATTTCTTCTATCATAGTGAATTGGTAACTGTACAGTTGAACCCAAAACAATTAGTTAGTTAATTATTATTATAGTTAATTATTATTGTATAGTTGTTTTAAATAGTTTTAAATATTATTATTTAAAAAACTGTTTGAACAAAGATTGGAATGTAAAAAATATAATTATAATGAAGTAATTCAACTCAGAATTATTATTTTAATCTATAGATAAATGTGCTATCATTTAAATTTTGTGAAGAATCAAGGTATAAATTTTGAGGACCCAAAGTTCATGTCATTGTTGTCATACTAAATAAAGGTCTATTGTTGACAATTAAAAACAAAATTTGATAAAAAAAATATTAAAATTGAAGTATAAAAAAATTTAAATTTATTTGTTCAAAAACCTTATTTTTAAACCTCTTGCGGAAACTCAACATATAAAAAATATAGAACAACAAAATTTTGTAGTGTTTTTGTTGATATAAAAAGGCAACTTTTGTATGCTATATAACGAAAAAAGTGTACTTTGTTCCACCCTGATGTAAATGATTCTACCAAACATTCCAATAAAGATTTGGTAAATCAACAAATGATAATTGCAAATGTGATCACGAGATCAGATAGTGGAATCATACTTCCAAGCAAGTTTTGCTGACTAAATTAATACATTTAAAAAATAATAATTAATTGAAGCTTTTTAAATTTCAATATTATTCCATAGTTGATAGAGAAAAATTAATAATATTATAATCATAATGAGAACAAACCTTTTCACTATGTTTGAACTCTCTTAGAACTCTGTCATAGTCCACCTTCGTTACCCTCTCTGGGAAGCAGCAGACTGATTTAATAAATGCCTTTAGCGAACGCTCGAGCAGCTGATTCACCTCACCGTAATCATAATCATCATGCCTGAAAAGAAACAATGAGAAAATTATAGTTCAAATGTTAAAACCATTAGCTGGTTGGTATAGAATATTTCGTGCTACACAATGAGTCTGAGAAACTGTTGTATACTATACATTGATATAATACAAGTGATTTTTAAAATTATTACAGCTTCATTTACTAATAATTTCACAGAAACATTTTATCTGTGTCTGACACAAATTATATAATCCTGCAGAATTCATAACTTCTTTGCTAATAAATAACGAATATTTCAATTGAGTCCTTTATTTCCAAAGTGAACCCTTGAGAATTTTTCAGGAAATGTGAAAAAATATATTTTTTATTACAGTCGGCTCAAAGAAAATTAATATAATTTATTTTTACTTTCTACTTCCAATGCCTGCAATTCTCAAACAAATTATCTTCAATAATATCTTCCAAAAATATAGGATACAATATCATAGAAGAATTATAAGACTTGCTTAACTTTTAAGGTTCCTACACACAGCAGAGTGCGATATGTCTTGGCTATACAATATTTCTGTCGGCAGCATTATAGCAATATAGTTGTATTACTACCTTTTGCATTATAGCAGTCACACAGAATGGGATAATCTGCAGCGATACCGACATAGGATATCGTATTGCTAGGACATATTGCGTTCTGTGGGTAGGGGTCTTTATCATTTCAATCATTCAATATCAGGGGGTCATTAGATTCCCTCAGAAATGGGTGAAGTATTTTTCAGCCTAGGATCGCCAAAAGAAGTTTAATTTAAATCAGTGACACGTCCGTAAGCTCCCCTTGTTAACATATATATATATATATATATTTTAAATATCTAAGCAGTTATGTTTTGAACAATTCAAAATTGAGGTTGTCATTTTACTTATCAAATGAAAACCTACACGATAAACTTTAAACTCAATTATCATACATTCATCTAGCACTATCGATTAGATATCTACGAGCATTTTTGTGTTTAAAAAACATGGTAAATTTGACTGGTTCCATAATTTTTAAAAATAAATATTAAGAAAACTACTCAAAAATAAAATATTAAAAAAAAAATCTTATGCATTTAGTTCATATAACTACTATAAAAATAAAAATCATGAAAGTTGGAGGCAAAGAGGTCAAACTTCTGGTGATTTGACATGGAATGGCTCTACTAAGATTACGTAGTATGTTAAAGCAACATAAAACTGACAATCCTAAGCGTGGGGTGATATACGGGAGGAAGGCTTTCGGACTGAAGCTGTTTTATGAAAAAAATTATCTTTAAAAGTATTATTGTTTGTCTAATTATATTTAATAGGACTTAAAAAATCACTTAAACACTATTTCATAAAGGTAGTTAGTTTCTTTCTTTCTTCTGAAGTGATTATTCTAATACATACAAAAAAAAATCTTTCAGGCTGAAGCCTCCCCCAAAATTAAATCCTGGATTCGTTAGTGATCCTAAGATATTTTAAGGACTGAAGATTGATATTAAATAAGAAGCATTAAGTTAACAAAAAAATTATTTTTAATTTGATTAAAAATAATAGAAAGAAGAATGAACTCAAAACAAAAGTTTATTTACCTTATTCCATACATGCATTGAATATAATTCCAAATGGCTCTTCTAAACCTAGACGTATCCACATCTTTTCTTCCGCCCATTGTGTAATATGTTAAATTGTATGCAGTTTTAAATTTTTCGTCGAGTAAATTTCCAACATCGCTATATAGGCGATTGACTAGAGAATATCCATGATCATCCCAAGAATAATCCTGAAAAATATAATAAATATACTTAGCGCTTATTTATTTAACAATTTATTTCTCAAACAAATGAGATTTATAGAAAATAAAATATACCTGAACTCTGAAGGTAGGAATATCTGACGTCTCGTCACGTCTTGCGAAGTCTTCATAGATGAACGATGGGTCTTCTACGAACTGACCTATACTTGGTTTAAGAGGCGTTGTTTCATTAGATGAAAGTTCAACTCCTTGTACTTCTACTCTCTCAAATCTAAGAAGGAAAAAAAAAATCATTAGCTATAAAATATATAAGTGATCATATAAGTTCAATTTCAGCAAGACAAGCAAAGGTAAATTAATTTTTATTGGTATTTGGTATAAGACTTATTCATAAAATAACATCCCAAAGTAGCTAGCAGACATCCGATTATAGTCCATGTGATAAATAAAAATTTGATGCTCCTTATATTATTTTTATTATTATATATATAATACAAAAACTTTAAACTATGACAAAGGAGTACACAAGGTTTTAGCCATTAATTGCTATAAAAGATGGAGATAATTTCCCGAAACGTCAACTTAGAATGATATAACAAATAAACCATTTGTTTTATACTTGAAAGTTTTTATTGTCAACAATAAACAAGAAAACAAGAAAATAGAACAGTTTCTCAAAAAAAAAAAAGAAAAAAAGAAGAATTCTAAAAAAGTATTTTATACACAAAAACAGCTTATTTATTGTCTATGGATTTTACTACTATTATTAACTATGATCTAATTTTAAATAAAATTTAAAACAATAATTTTTTTATACTTAAAAAGTTAAAATACAATAGTCAAATTAACAAAATGTCGCCAATTTTACAATAGATAAAATAATCAGAATAAATTTATGCTATCCCTTGAAATACTGCCATGTGCAGGGTAGTCTCGATAATCTGAACCCCTAGTAATACAAAATTTCTGGTAATCCGAACAAGAAAGAAAAAAAAAAGTTAAAGTTGACTAACGACAGATGGAATGGAAATAGCTCTGTTTCTCAGTACATATTATCTGAATCGCTTCATGTAGTAGTATCGAAATCGCATTTTGGTGTCTCTGAAAGGAAAATAATAAAACTAGACGGTCATCCAGAAGTTGAGGAATCTCTTTAAATGTGGTTTTTGCAGCAGAGATCATGAATGTGTCTAATTTCTGGGTATATATTAGCTGAAAAGTTTTCCTTTAATAATTTTTTCAAGAAGGATGGCAAAACAGATTTCAACGCTAACATGTAAATGTTGACTTGAACTTTCAAAAGCATTTATGGAATACGTTTTTATATTAATTTTTAATTCATTGAAAAACTTCTTTAAACCCATTTTATTTTTTATAATAGATAAATCATAGAAACATCATGAAGGAATTTAATACTTGCTTGGAATAGGTGAAAAGATACAACTTCGACTACCGAAGACTGTTACTTTTAAGGAATTTGCGAGATCAGAGGTTTTCTTTAGCAACAAAATCAGAGACTTGATATACATTATATGATCATTTTCGGAAATAATTTTTTTGTATATTTAATTCATAATATATTCATATAATATTTTTGTTACCTTATGCAATTGTTCCATCATTTCAAATTTAACCTTCGATTAACCGAACATTACATGCAATCTATGTGTTCAGATTATCAAGATTGTACTATAATTGTAAATTTAAGGCAGCTAATTGCATGGCTTTACAAGCAGTATTTCGAAGCAGTATAAAATTATTTAGAAGATGAAACCATAACCTATGATTATACACGAATAATATCTAATTAAACTATAAGGCACTCATTTACACTTATGAAGTCAAGCGCACCTTTCTGGCGAACATAAACCCTTTGAAAAATGATCTTCGAGCCCAGAAATTATACCTGTCTCCAAGGTTTGTGTAAGTGTCTTAAAAGCAATACTACTGAAGATGTTTTTGTTACTATAATTATTTTGGGCTATAACATATATAAGGGTATAATTTAAAATCAATATTTTTGGCTCTTTTTAAGTGCAATATTTGATAGAAAAAATGTGTAGTCTCTTGATCAAGAGCTAATAATCCTCTATAAGATACCAACAAATTAAATGAGGAGCAATTAAATGTTTAATTATACCTAATAATGTCAAGAGTGTTGAGCTACATTATTATAATTTATGTTAATGTTCAAATGTTAAACTAACCTTTTTGCTCTTTCGCTCTCACTAGGTTCTTCACTCCTTTCGGAAAGGGATTTCATTCTCTCCATAAGTGTTTCTACTCCAACTTCAGACCAGCCATTAGGACCTATAAAAAAAAACAAAGAATAATCAAAACAATAATCACTGACAAGTAACTCGAACAAATTAAAAAACAATTTTATATAACTTTTTCAGTTTGATTTGTAATGGTTCTATTAAGCCGAATTTTATAATTAGTTGTAGCTTTCAGAAGTTATTTTGATGCTTTATAAAGTTTCAAGTAAAGGTTTCATAGAAATTTTGTATAAAAGAACATTTTCTTAAAAATGCAAATAATTCATTTTGTTAAAAGTCAATTTAAAAAAATGGTATCTGAGCATTTTATTGTTATTCACTCAAAAAAAGGATATATAAGAATCGAGTAATTCATTTAACATTTAAGCCAAATTAATATTTATTTATTTTTTAGCATAACTTTTTTTTAATAATAACAGTTAAGCTTTTACCATAAACAAAGAACTTTATTAAACGAAAAAGTTCCTTAGATCATTTATCTTAAAACCTCTTCTCCTGAAAAGTTTCACAGAAAATGATAATGTGGAACTTTCTAAAAACGTTCCATGAAAGTTTCAACCTCCTCTTTTCTATAAACGAGAAGTCTTTAATTTTTTATTTATAAATTCTATCTTCTGTGAACTCTAAATTAAAGTCATTTATCAGTGATTAAGAATATATAAAAACCTTTTAATAGATATTGATAGATTAAGATATAATTAAGAGAAGGATGGTTGGGGAGATCAGTCAGAAATAAAATGGCACAAATAAATAATAATATTTATTTTAACATTTACCGTCGTTTCGACCCGAAGTTCAGGCCTTCATCAGGGCTAAGAAAAGAACCAGATAACAAGGTATGAGAAACATACACAATGTAGGTAAAAAAAAACTTAAAGTAAAATGAAGTAGGTAAGTGAACATTAAAGTAAAATGAAGTAGGTAGAATAATGACAATAACAAGAACTAAGAAATAAATAATAATAACGGTTACAAAGTGTGGACTAATGAAGTTGACATAATCAAAATAAGGTGACATAAGTACTAAAATGGTAATCTTTGAATACATTTTATTCTAAACGGTAAAATTTTAATACTTATGTCACCTTATTTAGATTATATTAACTTCATTATTCCACACTTTGTAACCGTTATTATTATTTATAATCTAAATAAGGTGACATAAGTATTAAAATTTTACCGTATAGAATAAAATGTATTCTAAGATTACCATTTTAGTACTTATGTCACCTTATTTTGATTATGTCAACTTCATTAGTCCACACTTTGTAACCGTTATTATTATTTATTTCTTAGTTCTTGTTATTGTCATTATTCTACCTACTTCATTTTACTTTAATGTTCACTTATCTACTTCATTTTAAAGTTTTTTTTTTTTTTACCTACATTGTTTATGTTTCTCATACCTTGTTATCTGGTTCTTTTCTTAGCCCTGATGAAGGCCTGAACTTCGGGTCGAAATGACGGTAAATGTTAAAATAAATATCATTATTTATTTTTGTCATTTTATTTCTGACTGATCACCCCTAACCATCCTTCTCTTCATTATTCACGACAGTCAACCATCAACTCACAATAATAGATATAATTATTTGAGTTGTATAGGTTAATAATTCAACTTGTACAATTTCACCTAAAATTATCGAGAATCGATCCTTTGTTTATTTAGTTCAGTCCTGCAAGGGGATATTACGGACATGGAGTCACCGATTTCAATGAAACTTTTTTTTTGGCCATACTAGGTCGAAAAATAATATTTTATATAATTTCAAATTTTGATTTTTAATAAAATTTCTTGACTATGTATTAAATAGGTTATAAAATATCTTATTCAACTAAAACCAAAAGTGGTTCCAGTGAAATAGGCAAAGTTTTGTTTTGTTTTTAATATTCTTTAAAAATCTTAAATACAACTTTTTAAAGAAATCAAAAATTGCAAATTTTAGTTCTTGATTTCCCTGGCCTTTAACTAAATTATTCATAACTCCTTAAGAAAATATATAAAATATTTTTTTTTCCTAGCTCTTGGCACATTGGTAAGAACTCTCAGATATGGGTCCAATACTTTTTGGCCTAGTATCATAAAAAAAAAAGTTTCATTGAAATCAGTGATCCGTAACCTCCCCATGTCAGATAAAATTTGAGTTAATTATGAATATGAATTATCAAGAGTCAACTGTACATTTATATTAGGTTTCTTTTATAACAATCATGATTTATTAGTTGATAAATCAAAATTAATAAATGATTTATTTTACCTGGTTTACCGTTTCCAGTGGTCTGTTTAGTAGGAGACACGTTCTTTGGTTCTCCTTTCTCTTCAACTGCCTCGTTTACTCCGCATCCAAAAACGAAACTCGATAGAGAATGGAAATGAGCAAGTAGCACTATTGCGTGGACCACTTCTGCTAATGACCAACTGTCTGATCCTTTCGTTAATTTCTGTAATCAATCATACAGATGAATTTTTATTCAAAATAAATTAAACCAAACAATATAAAAAAGAAAATAACAGCATAAATTTGATCGGCATAGTATGTTCAGTAACCTATCACGTTATTCTTTCGAATGCCTTAAAATTTAAAAGAAATCAAGGATGTCTACATATTTGTCTCTCTCACCATATAATTCATTAAATTATAAATATATTTTTTTTATCTTAAAATATTTATCTGCACCTCTCGACGAATTTTTGACAGTCAGAAGATGGTCTGATAAAGTAATGAAACTAACATACACGGAGAAGGATAGCACCAAGCAGTACCTCTTTCCTGGCTTGATTCAATTGTCATTCGTTAAGAAAGGTCTCATATCCAGCGCCTTTTTAGTCTCCTCATATTGATGGGCATGTCAGCTGAAGCCATATCTCTTATTAGCATGTTAGTATGTCCGAGAAAATTAGTATGAAATCATTTATAAAGAGTCCTTATGGAAATTAATAAGTAAGGTTTTGACACGAGTGTTTCAACTGCCTCCCGCAGTGCCACATACTACGCCCTGAAGACGACCTGCAAAGTGGGTCGAAACGTCGGCAAAAATTAAAATAATTAATATATTTTAATTTTTTTTTATTTATTTGACCGCACCCTCGACTAACTCCTTCTCATATAAATGTAATGCGTTTCGTTTGCCCATAATTTGTAACAGTCTTGTATTATATTATAATTTTAGAAAAGAAATATATATGTTAGTTAGACAATTTTGCTGTTACTTACTTTTTTTATAAAAGAATTAAAATCATAAAATAATTTAATATTTATTCTATTATATTGCATATTTTGTTAATTTGTGTTTCGCATTTTATGATTTATGGATGAGTGAAGCAAAAAATAAATAATAATATATAATGGATTTTAAATTTTTCTGCCAATTCAATTCAATAGTTATTTAAAAATTGAAAATTTATACTTTGATTTACTTGTAACATGAGAGTTGGAGGGTATCACGTTTGATATTCTTATAATTTTCCCCTTATCAATTGACCTATTTAATGTTATCTCTTTAACTGAACTGTACACTAACAATATTTTCGTGTCATAATGCTACTTTCATCATCCCAATTGAGACATTTATTATCCTTATTATTGTCTATTTTCAAATCATTATGATAACGAATCAAGAGAATCGATATAAAAAAATTTAAAGCAATAGAAAATTCACATTACAGTTGAATTATTATAAATTAAACTCAAAAGTATCATTTAAATATAAGTAAATTTTGATTAAGGGAGAAAAAGAGAAGTTATCTCAATGTTAGACAGTATTTATACAGTACATATTGAATACAATTACATTTTTATTTTTTATTGAGTTGATGGAGTTGATTTTGATTTATGTTAATTTTGAAAAATGCATTTGACTAGATTTCTTGATTTGTTATTCTTATTTAAAAAAGGTTTACATGAAAATGGTTCGGTGTTTATAATTAATTATTTGGGCCTTTAAGCTTCTGATCCTCTCATATATAATACGTACAAATAGGGAATATATAGTGATTTTTTTTTCTTTCAAGAAGTAACTTCTTTTTTGTTAAATACAGCCTTTTTTTTTAAGTATATTTAAATTTCATACAGAGACTAAAAATTCTTAAGGAATGCAAGAAATTAATTGTAAAAACAATTACTTCATCTTTTTAAAAATAATAACAATGAACAATTTGAATGAGGAAGTAGTCCTTACGCGACTCAGAATAGGACATAACAGGCTTACACACCTTCAATTAATTACTAAAGAGATTTGGTATGTTTTGTTTGAGTTGTGGAGAGAGTTTCACAACCAGTAGATATAATTGGATATAAACTGAATTAAAAGTAGTTGATAACCAATACGTTTTATGTAATAACTTTGCAACAAATAATGAATAATAAACAATAATAACAATGAATGCAGTTGCTGCAAAGTCATAGCATGAAAATCATAATTTTTGAGTTAAAACTACAGATTCGTGATCTGCAGTTTAAACTAGTAGTATAATTTCTTAACACTCTAGGTGAATCGTGCAATATTTTTATTATGATAATATAATATAATATAAAGCATGTGCATCTCAATTGATTGAAATCAATACAGAAATTAAAGTTTCAAAATTTTCTTCTTAAAAATAATTTATTTTGAATTAATAGGGTGTATAAAAAAATAACCATTTTATCAAATTCAAGATTTCAAAGGACTATAAATATTTTAATCCTTACCAATACTTAATAATCCCTTTAGAGCATTCTCTAAGCTTGTTTAATCCCATTTGACTTTTTTAAAAAAAATCTCAGTTTAGTTATTTGTTTCAAAGAATAAACATGACAGTATAGTACGAAATTCTCATAATTTTAAGGTATTACTGGAAAAAAAATTTGAAGAAATTCGTGAAATTATTAAATATGAAAGGGAAGGTGTCCTTGACCAGCGCACTGCATGGCATTGGTTTGAAAAATTTAGTAGTGAAGATACGACATTGGAAAGGAAGGAGGTTCTGCAAGAAGCTGGTGAGTCAAATCCGTCCACAAGTACTCACAAACTTGTCAGGGAGTGTGGTGTGTCGAAAGATTCTGTTAGTCGCCATCTACTCTTCATGGGGAAGGTTAAAATGAGCAGTAGACTGGCGCCTCATGAACTTACTCCTCAGCAATCAGCTAAGAGGAAAATTTATTGAAAAACACCTGCCTCATTCACCATATAGTACAGACCTCACACCATCGGATTACTACTTATTTAGATCCATAGACCATTATCTTTAAGAAAAAAAATTTGATAATTTTGCGGAAGTTGAAATTGCGATCCAAGAGTTCTTTGACGGACATCTCAAAGAATGGTATCAGCGTAGGATCGAGAAATTGGCTATCAGATGGGCTAATGACGGTAGATAACAATGGACTATGCTTTGAGTATCAATTGTATTTTTTATATCAAAAAAATATAATAATACAAATATTTGTATGTTCATTTATTTTTTTATACACCCTATTATATTGTTCTATTTCATAGAGTGTAATTTAAAAAAAGAAAAACATAAGTAGAAGCAAAAGTCGTTGAGCATACCTGTATGTGAGTTTTATTCAATAACCACGGCCTGTGGGCTAATATTTTATTTATTTCATAAAGGTCTCTAAGTTTCTGAGGAATATGAGTCAGGCCTCTTAGCCAGTTTTGGTCGCCACCCTGGAGAAGGAACTCCTGTTTTTGGTGATTTATCAGGTAACTACACTGGTGTCGACCTGCAGCCTGAAATCAATATTAATTCTGATAATTTTCACTTTTAACAAGGATATTTCTAATTATATAGAAGAAGAAGAAGTAATAAAAGTAAATTTTATTCAGAGACAATTAGTCCCCTTAGAATAATTATAATGTACAAAAAGATGAACATTGCCTGACATTATAAAAAAATAAGAAAAATTTTAGTTGGCATAACATAATAATCTAACCTTATAATTAAAATAAATTAATTACGATTAAACATATTGATTATATGTAATCATGTAATGTAATAACAGTATAGTCAGAGTGATAGCTCTTTAATACGAAATTTTATTCTTGCATGTATTCGGAAGATTGATAGCTAAGGAGACGGAAGAATAAATGTTGTTTAAATGAGGTTAAGGAAGAGGATTTGCGTAATTGAGATAGGTAGGGAATTCCGAAAAATGGTAGCACACACGATAAAGGATTTTTTAAAGGAAACGGTTCTATGAGAGGGAATAAACAGGTTTATGGACTGGGATCTCGTGTTAAACGAACGAACAGAAGAGCAAGGAGTAAACAAATCAAGAATTATAGAGTAAACAAATATACTATCCATTAATTAATAATTATATCTTCATTAATTATTTTATCTCATTAGTCGTCCATAGGTCTAGTTAAAGAAATTATCATAAATCATAATTTACAGTGTTTTCATTATTTGGACATTTAAATGGTACTCTGTGTTCCCTTCTTCGGCATTGTTAGTCGTCTAATAATTTTGATCTTTGACCAAACTTATTACAGAACTAACCTAATACTCAGAAGAACTGTATGCTGAAGAGGAAAATAGGAAACCTGTGAAACATCCAAATCAATACAACACAAAATTAAGACCAATGGCCATAAGTGAGAAAAAAAAATATAATGTATTAATTTTAAAATAAAGTAATTTAAATGTATTCAATTTTTAATGGATAAATGACAAAGTAAAAAACTGTGAGTAACAATAAGCAATAAATAAAGCATTTAATCAAAACTGCAATATAATAATTATTTATTAAGATAATATTGTGGATTTGCATAGCTAAAAAAATATCTAAAATAATCATTTCTCATCAGTCTAATCAGGGGATAATTAAATAATTTTGGACTTTTAATAAAACATTAAATGAACAAAAATAATATAGATAACATGTTATAATTCTCATTTGTTAATTAATTAAGATTCTGTTATAGGTAATATTTTATGTTTCAGTTAATTAAGGCTTAGTCAGTCCACTTATAAAATCAGAAAATCACTAGCAGATCATAGTAAAACCAATGTATATATTTTAATAACAGTAATTTATTTGAAGCAATGACAAGAAGATAATTAATTAAAATCATTTTTGTCTACACATTAATCAGAATAATACGGTTCTGGAGATTCATTTCCACAAGACGTTAACTATAACTGAAAGTGTTAAACGATAAATAAAATATGGAAGCTTTAAATGTCTCCTATAAACTTACAACAACTTCCTACAAAACTTAAAAACAACAAAGTCGATAAAATAGAATTTCATATTTATCAAGGAAGAAACATGGATAACAACTCGTACTAGAAGGCCTTCATGTATGTGTGGAAGGAATTAATGTGGATTGATTACTTCAACTTTCCCCAATGAATTGAAGAACAAAGAATCAATAGAGTAAATATGCCAAAACAACTTTGTTGCCGAAAAGCAGGCATGGAATTATATATAAATAAAGAAATAATTTAAATAAATAATATATAAATCTTGAAAGGCTTACCATAATTGCTATAAAATGCCTATAGTCAAAAGGAAGTGGACCATCTCCTCTTAAAATAAAATGTTGAGTCCTAAGGAAGATATCCAAGTAAGTCGGGTGATAACCCATCTCCTGAGTTATGTGATCGAGGCGATTATTTTGAAGAAAAGCATCGATGAAAAACATGTGTGTCTGGAACAAAAAAAAAAAAAATTATTTATAAATGATAAAGTCAGTTATTAAGGAAGAAAGAGTTTTTTTATATATTGTTTTATAACTCACTACATAACTTAATTGATTCAAACTGTATGCAAGGAATATTTGCTACTTACACTAATGCACAAAAAAGCAAATTAATTTTTTTTTTAATTGTAAGAAAATCTGAAAACTAAACACTGCCCTATATTTTGATAAATATTAAAATAACCAGCGCTGTATCTATTTAACAAATTTTTTATTATTTTCAAAACCATGACAACGTTTAGCCTTTTTATGCCATTTTCAAGCTATTAATTTATTCTATATCTAGCTACTGCATAAATGAATTATTGCTCATGCAGAAGTGGACTTATACACAAAGAATAATCCAATTAAGCAGCAGCTAAATATAAAATAAACTAATAGATTTGAAATGGCATAAAAAGCTGAAACGTTGCCATGGTTTTGAAATAATAAATAATTAGTGTAATAAATAAAGCCCAGATTAATTTATCAACTAAGTTAGAAATTCACTTTAAACACACAAAATATTGATAAATATTCTATTAAGCTCCCTCTTATTCGGTAAAATTAATAATTTGATTAATCTATCACTTGTTGATCATTCAGTGAATTCTTAATTACATATTTACAAATAAAACAACTAGATATATGCCATTTACTCTATTACTGTAAACAGTGAAACTCTAAAGAAGTCATTAGTTTCAATTTATTTATTTAGATGATACTTAAGAAATCTTTGTAGGCCATTATAAAATACAAAAAATATTATTGCTTGTTAGAATTAACTAATAACAATGAGAACTTATAAATACAAATATAATTCATATTTCAATCATACATTAATTTTTTTTATGAATTTCAACACATTTTTTCATTAGGCAAAATTTATTATTTTGTTAAATTGAAATATAAATATTAAATCATAACACATTTTGTAATGTAGTGTTTGTTACTATGAATTTTTTTATCTCATATTTGTAACTATTTATAACAAATCATATAATAGAAAGATTTACCTGATGTGAATAAAAATATCTAACTAAAGATAAATAACAAAAGTGAATTACCAATTTATCATCTTGCAAAACCACAAAGTTTCTCAATGACCTAATTAAAGTTATTGAACTAATTAAAACAAAATATATGATAAATGTAAAAAAAAAACTTAATAAACAAAAGAGTACGTGAAATGAAAAATCAAAAGATTTATTTATATTAAATAATATTAAAATGAATCTAAGGAATTATAATGCAGTGTATTTTGTTTAAACTGAAACGTGATTTCATAAATACGGTTATGTAGAAATATATTGATGGAAAATTTCGAACAGTGATTGATGCAATGGATAAAAATAGTTTTTCGATTTCTATGGTCAAGTTAGCCAACATAACAGCATGACATTCGTTCTTATTAAGGCTAAAATAGTTTTTTGTTTGACCAAGTTTTAGTTTTAACAAGATATTTAAAAAAAAAACTAAATGGTAAATTAATTAGATGCTTTTTTTTTTTTAATAACGATTTCAAGAAATTCTTAAGTTCTTAACCTAGATGAAATGAAAGAAGTGACTTTAAATACATTCATCTGTTTCAAAACAGTGTTAACTAACCAACTCGACAAAAAAAAAAAATAAAAAAATAATTTAATTAATTATTGGTTCCAATGTTATAAAGTGAATAATAAATTAAGCAATAAAACAGACTTATCAATAGATAAATTTGTTATTTTAATGGATTCGATTATTAATTAAAAAACGCAAACTTAAAGTTAAATACTATTTCGATCCTTCTAGATGTTATAATTTAATCATATTAATTATTAGGTGAAATATGATCATTGAATTTTTATTATCAACAACATTAATGAAATAATAACCAGTTATTTTCTCATTAGTTATCTTTACTTAGTTATTAAAATGGTGTTAGAAACAAAGAAAGCATTATGAATACTTTAGTACTTATTACCTCAGGGCATTAAGTAGTTCGTAGAAGTTGATTAATCATATTTAATAGAACTATATAATAGCGTTGAATAATTTAATGAGGTCTAAATGATAGTGTTTTAGTTATGTCCCATGAGTTTTAACCAAACCTAACCTTACGTTTTGACTCAGACCATAAAAATAGATCTGCGTTTTCCTCAGAGCCTCGTAAAATATGTTAAAGCAAGAAAGTAAAAAGGGTACCTCTACCTTACAGCTCTTTAGTGTTATATACAAAAAGATGTCCCTGAGTAAGACTTGAAACAAGTCAATGAAAAAGGAAGTAACAAAGAACTAGAAAGAACGAAGATAAAAGAAGACGCCCATTCCATCGACAATAGAAGGAGGTGAACCAAGAAACAATAGAAGATACCTTCGAGGCGAGGGGATGTGGTGCTGGCTTAGGACTCTAAGGATATCTTCAACTTATACTTTGCTATATAATATTATAATGCTATATTATGTAGCATATAATTAAAACAATCAACGTCCTTAAACTATGTTATATTATATTCAATCTATTGACACTCTTCTCCTATTATTAAAAGGTTAATATTAGGCGGTTGAATACAGGATGTTGGCAATTTACATTGACAAAGTATTAACTCATAGACGGTTGAATATTAGACTTGAAATGTAACGAAATTTTTTAAAATTATGTTCGTATCGCTGTGTACAGTGCAATTTGAAATATATCAACGTTAAAAAAAATTTCTAAAAATTATGGATTTTATTTTTTGTATTTTGTCCTGTTCAATTCTGATGGATAAGTCACCTTTTTTTCAGAAGTAAAATTGAGATCTCCATTGCCGGACATAAGAAATTTGATAGCATCGTTTTTGTAATTTTTTTATTGAAGTATAAAATTCTTTAGGCCCGTTTTACACTTTTTTATGGAGAGTGGCTGGATTCGACTAATTGAAGTGTTTTTGCATATGGATTAAAAAATATATCAAAAACTGAAAATCGGACCTGCATATTGTTAGCGAGGGAAATGTTCATCATTTCATCCTCTTTGTAATGAGCTTTTATTTAAAATTGTATCTTAACGCAACGCCGTGTTAGAAAGGCGAAAAAAAAAACTAGTGTCAAAAAACAAATTATAACGAATTTTGTTGAAGATATGGATTAAAATATCTCAGAAACAAAAAATTGGACTTGCATACTGTAAGCGAGAGAATTGTTTAGCATTTGATCCTCTTTATAATGAGCTGTTATTTATAATTTATATTTTATATTATTAATCTCGCCTTTTTGATGTTTTCACTTCTATCGTGTGGTCTAAAGGACACATCTTAGTTGTTTTTTTTTCAATTTTTTAAGTATGTTTCATGAGAAACTTTTGTGAAAGTAACAACTTATAAGAATATTTAAAATTATAATTCATTTTATAATTTTTTTTTGTAAAATAAGACATTAATTGGGTTAAAATCCCTTTCATTTTTTATTTATTTATTTTGTGGCTGTATTACAATAATTTCTTATTTAATTTTTCTTTAACAGACACACTTCAAGGTTTTCAGTTACATCATCAACAGATACAATAAAAGATAAATTCTTTATATAAACATTTTTTTTTTAAATTTTAGTCTGCTGTCCGTTTATTTAGTCGGACAATGGAACAAAAAAAGTTATTTAAATTATTATAAGCGATTGCCGATAGGAAAGCGTTTCCATTTCAACAACTTATAGCATAAATTATTATGATAATTAACACTATCTCTAAACAATGGCTTTAATAACACAAATAGCACAGCTTAGTATTAATTCTCTCCCAAGGACGTCGGCAGAAGCAAACATGCCGCCGTTACAGGCTGTATATATTAAAAATGCAGCAAAGAAACAAGATTATAAAGGCATATAGGTATCATATTAAAGATTAACAAAATGTCTGTCTGATCTCACTTTAAACAATTTCTTTAGTTTAATATTTTAGAGGTTCGAATCTATTTATAACAAGTTGATAAGGCGAATCGGCACACGGCTCAAAAAAGTCTATTTCACCATCTGATAAATTAAATGTGGCTCCTTGATACTATTAAGACTTTATATAATATGTTAAATTATCAGAAAATGGGTTATAGATATTAATATTTAAAGAACTTTTAAAAAAAAATAATTTTAAATAGGAATAAATTCGAAAAATATATTTAAATTTTGACAAGCTCTTGAAACTGCGGAAGTTATAATCTATGCGATATATATAAAATATTTGGCGGTATTTTTAAAACATTTAAATTTTAAAGTTCAATTTTTATAGGAGTTAGTTATTATTATGACTTAAAACTTTAGTAAACAAAAAAACGATGCAAATTATTTAACAATGGTTTATTATTTCCAAACAATTATACCTCTAAAGTAACAAAATAACATTACCTTCATAGTAACAAAAAGAAATAAAAGATAATTCTTATTATTGGCTTGAACTTTTTTTTTCATCATTAGTAATTTGCTAAAAAAAAAATAGCATTACTTCAGTAACACTTTGCAAAATCAAAAACCAAAAGAAAGGAGTTTAACTTGGAGTAGAACATATCAAAAAATATGTAGAGACCATATCTTTACTCCAAAATCAAATGATTTTAACGATTTTTTTATATTTAATTTTTTTTTTTTAGGACATTTCGTACAACAAAGATACGGCTGAGCTTCATGCCGCAAACTGGAAAACAGTAGCCCAAGATAGGCAGAGGTGGAGAAGGCTGGTTCAGGCGGCCAAAGATCTACAAGGTCTGTAGAGCCAACCGAAAAAGAAAAAAAAAAATATATATATATATGTATATATATATTTACACACACATATAAAGAAAGAAAATAAATAATTCGACAATTTTTTACAAATTTCATCACTAGGCGATTCATTACAATTTTTTGTATTTTAATAAGAAATGTAATTAATTCAAAATTTCCCTAACACGGGAGTTTAAGTTTATGATAAGTATACATCCAAATTTGAAAGACAAAAAATCAGTAATGACTTTTTATGATAATTAA